ACAATGATTTCAAAATTGTGTCCAAGTATTAAATGGTCACTTAATTTTTGGAGTCATCAACAAACCAATCACACAACACTTTTTTTTTTCCCGTAAAGATATTCTTAATAGATAGATATGAGAGTGTTTTGTCACTAAATAAGCATCCTTGTTATCATCATGGTAGTTAGTACATCTGACTAGCCATGGGAATGGTAATTAAGGTTGTCAAACTGGATTATACCATCAAGTCAGTCAGACAAGTGAGTTGAGTTTTAATGAATTGATCTAGTTGAACTAGTTCAAGTTGGTTTAACATAATATGTGAGAAAATCTCTAATATCTAATAGATTATGCATAAATTTGACATATTTTAAAAAATCCCATTAATCTACATTCATATATTACCAAAATATTCCTTTAAAATAAATATATATTACAAAATTATCAATTCTCAACTTAAAACTCTATTTTGACCAGTTTTAACCCCAATTTTGATGGTTTAACTCTGTTGTGACTTTTTGTCCAGAACCATCCAACCGTACGGTATTCAAACTGTTTAGACTACATGTTCCTAGGGTGGTAATCGGTTTGGTATCGATTAACCACTAACCGATATGACGGTTAATGGTTAACCAATGAGCAAAATACTCATACTGATAATGGAAACAATAAGTCTTATTGTTACCGTCTCTTATCGATACAGTAAGCGGTTAGGTTGGTGGTTAACCAATAATCGCTAATATACGCTCCAACGAGTACGATTATACCTAATCAAACCAATAATTAAAGCGAAAAATAACCACTTGAAATACACACGTCATCACCCAATTATGTTTGACAAGTGTCATTTAATCATAAACACATGCAAAACAATTTAACTACACTTCTACATTATTAACATAAAATACTAATGATAAGAAATAATATAAATACAACATCCATCTTGAAATCATAATCCAAATCCAAACTCCAACACATTAAATTAAAAATAATCAAATCACTTCATCTAAATAGTGAATACCAACTACCAAGACATCAAACACAAGAACCACAGGATCATCATTATCCACAAACATCAAAGAAACAAAGATTACTTTAGTGCGATGTTTGCTCTGTCGATTGCAAAGAGGAGTCGAAGATGATGGTTTTTGGGTTCTGACTCTTAAACACATTTAAGACTGTAGGTGGAGGGTTGTTTGCAATAAGTGAATATTGAGATGTCTAGAATTGCGACTTTGATTGGTTTTAAACCTTGAGACTTTTTTATTAGCCAAAGACCAAAATTAAGGGGTTATACTAGTAGGCGGTTATTGGCTTTCTTATCGATTAACCACTAAGTAAAATATAATTAATCAATAACTGCTAATAACAGTTGTTGTCGTTTTGGTTATCGATAACTGACTAACCATTTACCACCCCTACCGATTCCAGTCGGACCCGATTGAACCGGCTGGCTGAATATAGGCTTGATAACTTTCATCGTAATCACATTGTGTCGTTCGACTTCGCGCAATTTTGCACTTTTTCCTTGTTATTTTGCGTCGTGACTAGAGATGACAATAAAACCCGAACCCACGGGTACCCTACCCGACCCAACCCAGTCAACGCGGGTAAAACCCGTGTTGACGAGTTTTGGCCGGGTTCGAGTTTTTGGCCGGGTTTTTTCTTTCTAATTGTGTAGAATGAAGTTGATATTATCGAGTGGAGAGTGAAGAAGCTTAATTGACTAGGATGAAAAAACTTTCAATTAATCATTTTGTTTATGGATAATTTGTAATTTGCTTCAATTTTCTTGAGTTTTATAGATTGGTATTGAACAATTTGTATGATTAATTTGTGATTTGTTTGAATTTTCTATAATAGTGTTTTATATATGGATAATTTGTATTTAGAGATTAATATTTGAATTTTATTTTGATAGGAACTTGTTATTGTAAATTTTTTTGACAAAAATCCATGAGTATCCATAAACCCGAGAATATCCAACGAGTTGGGTTGGGTTTGAGTTTTCCAAACCCAATGAATTTTACCCCAAATTTGTTTCAGGGATAAATCCATGAGTTTGGATTTGACCCAATCCAACTCAATCCGACCCATTGCCATCGTGACTCGTGAGGTAGAGCAGGGAGTTGGGAATGGGAAGATACCACTACAACCACATTATCCGAAACTTATCAGTAAATCAATCAGATATCCTGACGTGTCTCTCGTCTTTGGGTTGCCCGGCCCAGTCGCTTCGACGACTCCAAACAACACCAATGAAAAAAAGAAGAAATTTTGGAGATGTCACCACAAGCAGAGTCCCACCACAGGCCTCTTACAGCTACCGTCGACCTTTGTTCACCACATACTTCTGTAGTTTTCCCTTTTCCTTCCAATCCAACCAAAATCCATTTCGAAGGCCAAAAAACGATCAAGAAGAAGAAGAAGAATAAGGAACAATGATTGTGACGATGAGGAGCCAAAGATGAAGAAGACTACGGGGAAGAGCTTGTTATGCCTCTCTCATGGCATGTCATTCTGCCTTCTTTGCTCCTTCTCCATCCTCTTCTTCGTTCCCCACCAATCACAGTCCTAGTCCCTTTAGGATTCGTAAATTGAGCTTCTTTCCTCTCGCTTTCTCCTCCATTAACGCCAGAACCACCAGATCTTCTCACAACGGTCTCGTCTCAGAGGTACTTTCGGCTTTCTGGTTCATCTTCTTTCTGGGTCCATTTTGTGTAAGCCGATTCTTCTGAATTTCCCTCTGTCAGTGTCAAAATTTCGCATCTGGGTTTCCTTAGAGGTCAAAGCTTTTATTAGGGTATACTTACTAACTGCCGGATTGGGGTGTGTTGCTAGGCAGTCAGGCTTCTGGGTCCTCCGGCTAGATTCGATGCTTCAAAGCTCAAAGTAGTGTTGGTAGGAAGGGACAATGACTACTCAAGAATCATCCCTAGAACTTACATTCTGTCTCACTGTGACTTCACTGCAAACTTAACCTTGACCATTTCCAGTGTCATCAACTTGGACCAGGTAACTGAAATAGGCTTCTTCTTCTTCTCGAGTGAATGAATGGTTTTGCTACAAGTTTTGAACCATAGGATGACGAAGGGTATATGCTGAAGTGAACTTACTCGAGTTGTTCGTGGGCAGCTAAGTGGCTGGTATAGCAAGGACGACGTGGTTGCTGAATGGAAGAAATTGGAAGGGCAGTTGTGTCTGCACATTCACTGTTATGTCAGTGGTCCGAATCTCACTTTCGACCTTGCTGCCGAGCTTAGATATCACATTTTCGCCAAAGAAATGCCTCTGGTAAGTTTCTCCCTGCATCCTTTAGCTATTCATTTGGAGAGGCGAGCTTTTGCTAGATAAAAAACACTTTCTAGCTTCTAATACCATAGTTTTGTCACAACTCACAATGTACAATGCCTTCTGTTGTGGGGGAAGTTTGGAAAGGAACAGTATGTACGCGTTCCATGTTTTGTCTCTGCTTCAGATTTTAACGCGAACCTGTTTTGTATTTGCAAATGGCAGGTACTTCAAGCTTTGTTATATGGCGATGCAGAGCTCTTTCAGGCAAATCCGGAGCTAAATGATGCTTTAGTTTGGGTGTATTTCCATTCTAGCTTGCCGAAATACAATCGAATGGAATGTTGGGGACCCCTCAAGGATGCTGCTCAGGTTAAGATTAGACTTGCAGTAATAAACTGAACCGATTTTGATTCTGTGTTATGCCTGAAAGTACATCAACGGGCCAAATAGTTTTGTTACTTCTCATGTTTATGCCCTCATTTGCTCTTGTCAGGGAAGACAGGGAGTTGAGTACAGAGGCCTATTAGCCGAAAACAAAGACAGTCCAAGGAAACGCCCACGGGCAAGGTCCATTTTCCAGGCATTGTTTGCATTCTTACTCTGAGCAGGCGCTGCTTCACCAAAGCTCGAATTGCATATGTATATCACACTAGAGAACTGATCAATCGACGACTGTTATCCCTTTGTATTAGAGTGCAACAAGCCTCGCAGAGGAACAACAATCTGATCATTCTTTTGTAAACCGAGTTCATTTACTGGGAAGCTTGAGATGTTGAAAAGAATGGAGAAGCACTTTTGAGAGAATTTGTACATTTTGTTTATCAAATGGTTAACGTCTCGCTGTTGCTTTTTGGTGATTACAAGACGACTTCCCAGATCAAACTCTCAAAGAGTCTTTTCTTGTACATGCATGGGTTATTTTCACTGATGATGATCAGTTGCCCCTGGCATATGCTTTTGATGTTGTGTTCTAAGCTGAATGATGCCATCTTTCCACTGATTCACCAAACAAGGAAGGTGGTTTCAGTTTCACTCAATGCTCAAATTCCTCAGCAGTTTGAGAACATACTTGTCGGCTACATAGGCAGTTGGGATCTTGCTTTCTTTCACTCATCAATTGAAATAACTATATTACAGAATCTGAGATGCTATAAATAAGACTATCGCATGCTTCCACATTTGATGATTTTACCAACCAGTGAGGGAGCATGGCTAGTGGAGAAATCATGGATCCGTGGCATAATCTGCTGGCAGCCACGACGTTTGCAAGCAATATTAATGGTGACTGGAGGCAGACTAGCGTGGTAATCATTCCACCTCCACGAGGCATCAAATGCAAGATGTTGTACGTCGTTTATCCGAGCTCGAAAACAGTACACCCAAAATGCTGCTACTGGCCTACTACTGACTAGCTAGCCTTTGTTGCAGCCGGTAAACTGCATGCCCAAGCCAGCAATGTGTCATCCAGTCTTGAACACTTGTGTACATAAAAATGTATGTTGCAATGGCTGATCTAACAAGTGAAGTAGTAATTATGGTTGCATTGCAGGTCGTATATTCTTTGTGTTTGTATCCTGGTTTCATTTTGTGCATGAGTTTGTTCAAGTAGCTTCAGATCACAAATTATCCAAGTACGGGAAGAACAATGCATTCACCACTTCCAAAAGAGGATCATCATCCATCCATAAAAGATCTAGCTTTCTAAATCACTTAACTAACGTAAACACCAATAACAAACAAAATGCTCATCACTTCTCTTCATGATTCGGAAATGCACAAGATTTTTGCATCAAGCAAACAGTAGCTCAAAACCCTAAACTCCACTCTCTTACCTGCCAATGATTTAGCTTCATCGTTCTGATGTCCCAGAAATGTAGTTGGACGAACTCTGACGGCGTTTGGAGTCGAGAGAAGGTCCACCTTTAGATCCAGGGCTCTTCTGAACGTGCCTTCTCTTAGAAGCGCTCGGCCCTTCCCTGCTCGTATGAGTTGAGGCTGCAGGTCCCCTTGATGAAGTTGAGTTCTTCAGCCTACTACTTCCAGTAACACCTGAAGAATGGTGTGAAGAATTGTTCTTTGACGACGTCATCTGATACAGCCTTTTTGACGTCTTCTCAGCAACTCTCTGCTCGATTTCCTTTGGGTCAGGAAAATGCACCAGGGATATTCGGTGAGAAATATTCCCAACTGTTCAATCAAAGCAAGTGCTATCAGGAGAACGCTTCAAACCAAAGGTTACAGATAATAGTTTTCTTTATCCTGGGGGGACAGTGTGGACGACTTTAAATAGTGACAACTCCGACAACAAGGTTAATGCAGATAAAAGCCGTGATAAAACAGTATATCATACGAGATACTGTTTCTCTAAGCTCAGCAATGAACCGGCGAAATGTGCAATAAACACTAGAAATAACTAAGCTTCTCACTCGCCATCTCTCTCTTTCTATCTAGTTCCTCTATTCTTTGCCTTGCTCAACAAAGAAGATGTTAATTTCAATTGGAGCAGCCATATCTCAACGACGAAAGATAGGTCGAAAAGAAACCGTCAACGAAAAGTGTAGCTAGCAGATTCTCGTTTGTCAACGATACTAAGGACCGGGTCGAGCGAAATGTTGTTCAATAGAGGCTTGAAGAGGGATCATTTGTCCTCATAATCATTTTCTTTTACAACCTGACCTTCATTCTTAATGTCCTCCAGGTCTTGATTGACTACTAAATGGTGATAATTTTCCAATCACAAAGAGGGCATTGCATATGATTCATTCATTCATTCTTCACCCTACTCTATGCAAGATACATACTACACTAAACTGTACCAACCAGCCAGTCACCAAAGACAAATACAAACAGTTGTCTAAATCCCATCGTGCATAGCAGAGGAAGCAATCCAATGAATGTCAAACACAGTGAACAAAGGGAAGGGTTACCAATCTCAGTTTCTGAAACAGATGACATGAAGACTGCAGCATCTCGCTCTACATCGGTGCCGACTATATCATACTTTTTCCCTGCCAGACATAGGTGCAGAAAGGAGCAACTTCAACAATGGAACCCAACAACTTGGGAGGCAGAGCTGAAGGAGCACATAGTCTCAAGGATGGATGGAAAACCTGAAAGATCCTCGAAGCTTCCCGAGCTACCATTGCGATCGAAAGTAATGCATACTTCCTTGCCGTGGATATCAGGAAGCTACAATATACACACACACACACACGAGAAAACTGCAAATTATACCCGAACCCGTACTGATTGAACCAGGAAAAGGAAGGAAGAAAAGCAGGGGAAGAAGAGGGGAAAAGTACGTCATGGGGCGGCCATTGGATAAGCCAAAGCTCTTTAGAACTAGAGCGAGCACCGGTAAGATCAAGAAGTGGCTCTCTTGTATCTTGTTCGAAGCCGTCGTCGGGCTGGTAACCCGGCACCTCCTCACCGTCCATCGGCGAATGCAAGTCTAATCAAGAATTTCAAACCCCAATATTATAAAAAAACTCTAAAGTTCGAATCTTAACCTGAAATTTTTTTCCCAATCCACACAACTGAACGAGAACTCTTACCTTAAACCACCGAAATTGATTGGAAAAGAAGGAAAAAGAAACAGAGGGGAACTCAGAACAGAATTTGCAGAGTCCGAAGTCCGAACTATACAGCTGGCCTGATGACAGTCGGAGGCGTTTAAAGTAGTTGGTGGAGGAGGGCGGCAGGTCGTTGTAAGGCTGTACGGAATTCGTCGCCGGAATACCTCGGTAAGGGAGGGTGATGGCGGCTAGGTTTCCTGCGACGAGACGATTAAACTAGACACAAAACGCGAATGAATGGTTGGTTTGTTTGTTGGATTTGAAAATAAAGATGTTTAGTTTTTGGGTTTATACTAAGGATTGAAGTATCGTATCACATGTTTTATTAGCGGTAGTGTATTTTAAGCTAAAATCATGGTTTAATTATGGTTCAACCGTATTATACCGCTAAATATCGCGTACCGATTTTGCTTCTGATAGTAGGTTTTTCAGGTCGAACTGTCGTTACGGTACGATACTTTTATCCTTGGTTTATACTTTATTTTGACCTGAAATATACCTATATAATCAACTTTGGCATGTGGGTTCAGAAATTGTCAATTTGTCATCATGATCTCAACTATATATCATATATTCTAACTTGGCCGGACACGTGTTTTGAACGTCAATTTGGACAGTTAACACCATTGATTAAAGGTCAATGCTCCAACTCATTGTCACGTCAATGACAAATAAATAAAAAATTCAAATTACAAATTATTTTCTTATTTCTTTTATCTAATAAAATAATAATAAAAGTAACAAAAAACTAATATGGTATGTAGTTTGTGGATAAATTAGATATATTTCCATCTCTTTTATAAAAAGCTAATTATATATCTAATAATAATAAAAACTAATATGGTATGTAGTTGGTAAAAAAAAGTTTCTCGAAATATATTGAAAATTGATCTCATTTTGTAGAGCACAACAAACTCGTTCCATGTGTGCAAAAAAAATTGAAATCCGAGTTAAAACAAAGAAGATAAGAGCCGATTATGAAAACTAGGAAAAATAAAATGTCTTTAATTGACAACTATTAGATCTGGATTTTCTGGGACCACTTAGATCTAAAGGTCCAGATTTAGTTACTCATAGGTCAGTAACCAATGATTACTGACCATATCCTAAGCCGTTGGGCAGTCCCCTGGCAATTAGAAAGGTGGGGCAAAGAAAAACTCCTAGCATTGTCTTCCTGATGTTTATAAAGAAACAAGACAAAATACATCTGTATAGTTATAACTTTCATATTTGTGATAAATATAGTTATAACTTTCAGAGACACACAAAATAGCTAAAAATTTAGAAGTTTTTTTTTACAAACAAAATTTAGAAGTTAGTGTGACAAATTTAGCAAAATCGGTTAGAAACATTAACAGCATTTTGGATGCCGTCAAATTATGTGACGGAATGCTGATTAGTATCCAACTCATCGTCCACATAAGCTACAAATCAACATAACTTTACATGTAGATGCCACATCATCAATTATTTAAAAATAAAATAATTTTTTCTATTTATCCTCTTATTCCCGTCGACCTTCGTTTGAGTGCGGATCCCATGACAAACCCATGACAAAGGGGGTGCTTAGTCACTTGGCTAAGCCCCTCCCAGCCCTTAGATCTGAACACACCAATCTGACGGTTAAAAAGTGGGAAGGGCTATTTAATTAATGAAAGGGGTAGTTTGGGTATTATAGAAAATTACGAAGTATACAAACCGGACTTACAATCAATACAAATCATACAAACAGTACAAACTACAACGACAAAACATACAAACAAATTTACAAACATTACAAACGCATGAACTGTACAAACAATACAAACTAGACCGACAAACAATACAAACCATACAAAAAAGAAAAGGCAACCGGGTTGACTTTGGAGGCTCCATCCCTATATAGAAGGCTCTATCTCAAAGTCAACCCGATTGTTTTTTAGACATACAAACATTATGAACATGGTGAATAAAAATGACAAACTAGACCGACAATCCATACAAACTGTAAAAAAATACCCGGGTTGACTTTGGAGGTTTCATCCATATATAGAGGAGTTTCATCCAAAAGTCAACCAGATTGTTTCTTAGACATAAAAAAACATTACAAACATGGTTGACAAAAATGATAAACATGGTGCACAAAATAAAAAGTTTACAAACATTACAAAAGAAACCGAAAAACATTACAAAATAACAAAGCGTACAAACATTACAAAATAAACCGAAAAACAGTACAAAACATACTAACCGTACAAAATGTCACTAAAAATGACAACCAAGAATGATAAACAATACAAACCGAATCTATACAAGCATTACAAAATAGGTCGACAAACATCACAAATCTAGCACTGTCACCGGAAAGTCTCCTCTGGTCGTCGGAAAAGTCTCCTCCGGTGAGTAGAAATTCTCTCTCTCTTCTCTCCTCTCTCCTCTCTCTCTTCTCTTCTCTCTCTCTCTCGGGAGCCAAATACCCACGAGAGCTCTTTGTTGGGAATAAAAATCCCCCTCACCGGCGGGAGCTATGGGGAGAGGACCACGCCGCGGGAAGGAGAGGATCGCACTGCCAGTCCACCGCCAGAAGAATTCCCAAAAAGGACTGCGGCGGGAGGCGGAAGGATGGTAGAATATTTTTTATTATTTTACTTTAATTGTTAAATAAATAAAATATGTAATTACAACCTTGTTCTTCATCAAACTAGATAAATTAGAACTATTAGATTTTAATGAGGCTAGATGGCTGAGATTGGTTTAGTCATCTGACTAAGGGGACCCCCTTAGTCACTTGATCTTATCCCCTTCGTTCTCCCTCTATCCTACCTCATCCCCAACTCGATTAGGGTATCGAGAGATCCATTTCAATTGGCGGGGCTGGGGATCAATTCGATCCAACCGCTTCTCCATAGCAACCGATTCCAAGTTCCCTTCTCTCCGGAAAGCCTCCACCATCCTCTTCTCGACCTCTTCCCCTCTTTCCTCCCCTCCCACCACCGCCACCGTCGTCAGCCTCGCCTCGCTAATCGTCCACATGAACTCCCCAACCTCCATCCCCGAAATCATCGGAGCCCTCTTCGGCTCCACGATCTTGTCCGACGAAAGAGCCTTCCCCAGCCCGGCCAGATTCCCTCCCGCAATCGACGTCGTCAACGCTGCCGCCTAGCTGCAATTCCACACACACCACCGACGGAAACTAAATCCTTTCGCAGATCGAGACTTTCTGATGAACATATCAAGATCCATCGCCGGCAACCAGTGGTTTCCTTCGACAAGAGCAATATTTTTCTACCATTGAGTTTTTGTGAGTAGAATATAAATCTAGACCAAATCTCGCTGGATGCTCTTCCTCATATACGAATCTGTGTGCTTTTGAAACAATAAGGAAGGCGAATTTTTTTGAATTGGAGATTTTTAATTCGATTGGGTTTCTGAATTACGGGTGTTGGTTGAAGATTAAGAGTTTTTTTGGGGGGGGGGGGGGGGTTGGGGGATTTTTGGTTCGTTCATTGAAGGGTGAGAATAGAATAACACCCTTTGTGTTGTTATAATAACAACATGATTCATTAAGGACAAAATGGTAAACTAACAATAAATCCGAACGTTCGGGCAAGCAATCCTCCTCCGCCATCCCTCAATCCCCTCCATCCATGTCATTTCTCCTCCTTCCGGCATCGACAGCGACGCCAATCCATCGATTTCAAAGGCGCAATCATCATCAGATCTGGGTGGACACGAACCCGAATCTCTCGCAAATGAATTGGCCTTTCGGCCTGCGAGTTGACGGAGATGTGGTGAGGTCGTTGAAAATGGGTAGCAGGACGAATTGCTTGGTGGGGGGATTCCAGAGTATGAAATTGCGGTGAATTTGATGCAGAGTAGGCTGTTGCAGGAACCGAGGATAGAGGGGGAATGTAGTCGGGCATAGAATACGGTGACCGGCAACGAGAAATCGTGGTGGAGGGTTGTGAAGGTGCTGCCGATGACTGACATGCGGAGATTCCGGTCGAAGGTACGACCATGGTGGACGAGGAGGAGAGGGATAATCAAGTAGCGCACAGGATTTGATCAGTTCAAGGTAGGTCAAGTTAGAGAGGGAACAGAAGCGAACCCAATTCAGCAATGGCTAAGAAAAATCGTGGGTGGTTTTTGATTGGTTAAAACTAGAAGCAAGATTAGTCTTCCTCTTCATGGAAGATCAGCCATAGCCATAAGAATAGTAAAAGCAAAAGGATCATTCAGGTGATCAATCACAAGTTACACCAATGCCAACTTGATTGTATAGTAGGAATCATAAACACGAGCTATGTATAAACAGGGAGAGAGAGAGAGAGCCGACCTGGAAATTGGAGCAGAAGAAGTAGTACTAGTAGTAGAAGATACTAGGGTTGGTATCTTGAGGGAGAAGCAGAGTGGACAGGCGGAATGTTTATAGCCCTATGTGTTTAATTTTGTTTTCTAATTAATATTTAAATATTTAGATCCTAATCATCCAATATCCATGAATTTTGAGGTTTTTATATGGTTTTTGTATGTTTTTTAGTGTTTTGGTATATATTATTGTGTTTATGATATGTATTTAGGAGTTATTGGTATGAAGATCACAAGTATCTCATAAGCACACCAAAGACTTTCTAATATAAACAACAAACATGGTAAAACAAACTATAAAATGCTTATCAGAAACCTTCAAATGCAAAGCACAAGTCTCGAAAAACATACCAGAAACACAAGAAAACAAACCACAAACATAATAAAATAAGCCAAAAAAGCACCAAAAACCTCATAATCCAAACCACAAATCCTCTAAAACAAACCAGAAATCGCAGAAAGCAAACCACAAATATTTCGAAAAGCACACCAGAACCCCCCTAATGCAAACCACAAACACGGTAAAGCAAACCACACAAAGCAAACCAGAAACGTCCTAATGTAGACCACAAATCTATTAAACCAAACCACAAATCTCGCAAAGCAAACCACAAAAGTTTCAAAAGTTCACCAGAAACCTTCTCATGCAAACCACAAAAACAAACCAGAAACCTTCTAATGCAAACCACAAATATATTAAAACAAACCAGAAACCTCACAATGCAAACCACAAAATTTTCGAAAGTAAAACAGAAACTTCTTAATGCAAACCACAAACACGATAAAGCAAACCACAAAAGGCACACAAAAATATGAGAAACCAAACCATAAATCTCACAATGCTGACCATAACATCCGGTGGTCGTTGACGGGTCAACGAAGTTCGTTGACCAAACTCCGATGACCGTCGGTGAGCAAAGTTCGACGCCCGATAGGCATATTCTGGCCCCGATGACTAGATTCCGACGCCAGTAAGCATATTCTGACCACGGTGAGCATATTCTGGCGATGGTGAGCATATTCCGACGATAAAATAGCATATTCCGGTGACCGACGACCAGTGGCCGAATTCCGGCGACCAAAATTTTGGGCAGAAAATTTTTTTTATTTTTTTATTATTATTTCAATATATTTTTCATAATGACAATTATATCCCTGCTTTGATTTACACTAGGTCAATTCAGCTAATAAAAAGTCATCACAACCCTATCTTCCTATTGGTTGGAGACTAGTGTTGTTACAATAACAACACAAGGAGTGTTGTCACACTATCTAGTCCTTGTATTGAAAGAATAGGAGAAGAAAGTGGAAGACGAAGAGATGAGTATTGAATAAATGACCATTTTTAGTTTTTCTTTTTAATTCCATTTTTGGTTTTCTCCTTAATCCACGTGGAATCTAATTGTTTTTTCTTTCTTTAATCCATGTGGACTCTTACTGAGAAAATGTCGTAAGGTCAACATTTTCGTAAGTCTAGTCATACCGCTAACTAACACCGTTAAAAAAATGGACGGAAGTGACTATTTTATGTTTACCGATTGTTATGACTATATTTGTCACAAACGTAAAAGTTATGGTCATACAAGTGTATTTTCCCAAGAAACAACAACATGAACGGGAAGAAGTGATTAAAGAGCTCGGATGGGATAAGGGTTGGGGAGTGGGATATAAAGGAAGGGCAGGAGGTTTGTCAATGATGTGGCAAAAGGATGTTAAAGTGGAAGTAAAGGACTATGCAAAATATTCGAACAACTTTGAAAGCATAAGCAGAGCAATCAGATTCAACTTTGTGCAAATTTTTATTGTCTTGAAATGAAAATTGCACTTCAACACTTATTCTTCCTTCTCAATGTTTTATTCATATGAAATCCATGTTTCTTTCAATATCCTTCTTCAAGTCCCAAGGACTTTAGAGGAGATCTTCCACTTGGTGGTACATTGCACACACACATATGGAGTCCCAAGTTGAAACTCTTGAAGCATTCTGCTCTATGTGCTAATCAAGAATGATTTGTTGTATAGGTTACTGCTGTAGTCTCACCGTCAGCGACTCCTAAAATAAGCGAGGGACGCCAGTGTTACATAGTCAGCTCCAGGTTTGACATTCTACCATGAAATGTTTGATTTTCTGAATTGTATTTCTTATGAAAAATTCTCAGATGGGTATATGTGATTTATGTTCATATTTCGCACTATGACCTAAGAATGTATTCCTTCATGTGCAGTGTATCTCAGGTATTTCCTGTAGTTAGCTTTAATTTTGCCAATGGCGCTTCTCTCGTACTAAAACCAGCTGACTACCTTCATCAATCCGTTGTAAGTTGTTGCAGTTCTGAGTTCTGACTTGACTTTCTGATTCTTTGCCTTAATTTATGGAATTCAGTTGTTTCTCCCTCCACAAAGTCTAAAAGGCCGTATTTCCTTGTAGTTGGATGCTGGTGGGATGTGGTGCATCGGGTTCATGAAGAAGCCGGGAGTGACCATCTTAGGAGGTTAGTCTATGTATCGTAGAATTAAAAAGTCTGAATATCTGTCTGCAATAGATGTGCTGCAAAAACACCAAATTGAGTTCATTTTTGGCTGATTTAGAATGTTCTGCTCAATGTTCTCATTTTGATTGTCTTGTCTTGTTCTAATGTCCAGATCTTGTTCTGAAAGACAAGATCTTTGTTTACGATCTGTTCCATCAGCAAATTGGGTGGACAAACTACAACTGTAAGTTCAATAAAATCCTATGAGAATTTTCCCTTCGATTCCTTTTCGTTTCACTGATATCGCTGACCCACTCCTTGTTTTCTCCCCTCATCCAGGTTTGGAGGCAGCAAATGTCTTCGTTCCCAAACAACGAAGCTCATGCTGTTCATCCAGAGACACGTTGTTGATGTCGCTGCCTCTAGCGATCACAATTCTCATCTTACAAATATCATCAGTGATCGGCATCAAGACAATGTAATTTAATGTCCATTACGAGTTACACTGGTAGTTTAGGTATCCTGGTCCATGTATCTTATACACTCTTTGAACGAGATGATCAATGGACAATGATTCACTCTTCTTTCCCCTAATTCGTGACACTGTATAAAATGAGCTAGCTACTGAAGAGAAGGCAGTGGCAATTTGGCAGTGTGTTGAGCTAACATCACATGTGAAGAAAGAAAAAACATTCAATCTAAAACCATCTCTCAGTGCTAACCTAATCTCATGGTCACTTAGATAAGAGAGTGGTCCCAAGAGTCACATATTCCCTTTAACAGCATACAGAGGCTCATATATATCTCCGATGACCTCTTAACTTAGAGTCCTTATTGGATCAAACAATGATAAGATCTTCACCTATTTCTGCTTCTTCCTTCCCAAGAACATTAAAACGTTGAACAAACTTTAGACTAAAGGTATTTTCTGCATTTATCTTGCTACTCTCGATGTCTTCAATAAAACAATGAATTCTGGGGCTTTATTGTGGTTTCACTTGTAATTTTAACCTTGATAACTAACCGATAGCATACGGAATCACATCAGAGAGACTGAGAGAGAGAGATACACACATTCTCCTCAAATGCAACACCCGCACGAAATGAACACTTTAGTCATTAAGGTCAAAGAATGCTCTCAAACGCTCTGAACGAGAATCCTCTCCCGGCGCCGACCCTGTTCCCTTCTGATCGGCCGCCGGACACTGCTATCTCCATTGGTGACCCCTCTCCCTGCTCCAATCTTGAAAAGGCGATCATCTCCGACACTGACATGATTGTCGAGTCACCTGAGGCACAGCCACAACCGACTCAAGCCCCGGAGATCTCTCTGGCCGCCCAGATACCTCAGTCGGGCGATCCCCTGTCTCTAATCTCGTATGCTTCAGCGGTTACGGGGCTTAAAAGCCCTATTGCTTCGCTACCGGCGACTAGCCTCTGGACCCCGGTGGGCGAGAACGATCTCATCCCGGGGGAGCGGAACGGAGAACCGGCACTGAAAATTTCGACGGAGTTCAAGAATCGGATCTGTGCACCATGGCAAAGAGCTCTCGTCGTAAGGCTTCTTGGCTGCAAGATTGGCTTTTCCACTCTTTGCTCACGGTTACGCTCTCTTTGGCGGCCAGTTGGCTCCATGGAAGTCATGGATCTTGATTTCGATTGCTTCCTGGTGAAACTCGACAATGAGCAGGATTACTTTCGCGCGCTGACTGACGGACCGTGGGTGATCTTTGATCATTACCTTGTGGTCCAACAATGGACCCCCAAATTCAAGGTGTCAGATCCACTGCCAAAGAAGATGATTGTTTGGGTTCAATTGCCCGCCCTAAAAGTCCATTTCTATCACAAGGAGGTCTTGATCACCCTCGGCAACTTGATCGGTCGCACGATTAAGTTGGACTTTCATACTTTAAACCGACAACGTGCTAAGTTTGCATGATTGGCGGTAGAAGTTGATCTTGGAAAACATCTTGTTCCGAGAATATGGCTAGATGAAGAATGGCAGAAGGTGGAATATGAAAACCTTCCAACGGTGTGCTTTGAATGCGGCAAAATTGGGCATATGTCGACAGAGTGTCCACAACTGTCCCCTCCGGTCGCTCCCGCGATCGGTTGAACGTCAGGTGGGGCGGCGACAGCTAGCACGCCGGCGACGGAGCCAGAGGAGCACCCAGGTTTCGGACCATGGATGATGGTCAGCCGGAAAAGCAGGCGTGATCCTCGTGTGGGTACTAGTAAGGGAAAGTCGAATCCGGGAAATGGCGGGGTGATTCCTACACCTGTGATCAAAAAAGGAAAGGAAGGGGCGGTATCAAAGGAGACCGACCATCATGCCAATAGTGACAAGTCTTCCCATATTTTGAAGCCCCAAGAAGGGAAAGGAGGCAACGGGAAGAAAAGTGGGGAAGAGGTGAGGAAAGGTAAAGAGAAGGCGGTTTATATTCCCGCCGGGATAGACAAGGGCCTCCTTGGGCCAGGGCCGAACAATCAAAATATGGCGGGCCTTGGTGTTAAGCCCACGAAAGCCTCCAATATAGCCTCCTCGTCAACCAACCCCACTAGCCCCCAAGGACCCTCTAAGTCTGGCCCATTAAAGAGTGGGGAGACTGCTAGATCCTCAGCCCCAAAACCAGCCTCGGCCACCAGCTCAATTCCCCCCCATCCATGTGATTAGCGGCCCAAATGGGACCACAATGCTGATTGTGGAAGTTCGATCGCCTGAGCAGAAGAGTCGGGACTCCATAGGGACGAACACTCCTTCAACGCGAGCAAGAACGAAGAAATCCAAATCCGGGAAGGAGCGCGTGAAGAAAACTTCACCGACCAAATTCAACCCTCTGAAGCAGCTGCAAATATGGTCGCCCATGAAGGACAAGAGATCAAAATCCAAGTCCCGCGTTGCCTCGCTCACTCTTCAAGAGATCACCGCATGGACAGAGGCGAAAGCTCAGAGACCCGCCGAGTGGGCAGCTGCGGATAAGCTTAAAGAGATAGCGCCTGGCCAGGATGAGGAGACGTTCTTCTCAGCTCCGCACGCCTAGCGTCTCCCTTTCTCTCTTCTCTCCCTTCTCCCTTTCTTTTTTTGCTTATCTATGTCTATGTCTTACAACCAGAACATTAAAATTTTTGTTTGGAATGTGGGTGGTGCAGGTAGCAAACCCTTCGCCCGAGCTTTGAGACTGGCGCTTCAGCAGAATCGGCCGGATTTTGTGGTTCTCCTCGAACCACAGATCAGTGGGGAGAACGCCAATTCAGTCTGTGATAAGTTGGGGTATCCTAATTCGATCAGGGTGGAAGCGGAGGGTCGCAAGGGTGGGATTTGGATCTTTTGGGATGCTGGGCTGTTTTCGGCTAACATTGTTTCTGCTTGCAGTCAGCATATTTCACTGCAAATCTCGAGAGGTGGTGGCGCTCCTTGGATTCTGACGGCAGTGTATGCCTCCCCTCGTAGTGGTCTGCAGAAAGGCCTGTGGGAATGTTTGATTGAGCAGAGCAAGAGGATCGATATTCCTTGGATCTTGTCAGGGGATTTCAATGCTATTAGGTCTCCCGACGAGAAGTCTGGCCCTTCCTCTAGCTATACCAATCGCCGTTGTCGTCTTTTCAATGATAGGATCAACCTGGCTGAACTCGTTGATCTGGGTTTCTCCGGCCCCAAGTACACCTGGACGAGAGGCGAGCAAGACAACTCTTACAAAGCCAGCCGCTTGGATAGAAGTCTCTGCAACCTGTATTGGAACACCTCTTTCCCCAATACGTTTGTTGTCCACCTCCCTCGGCTTCAGTCAGATCACAGTCCCATCCTGACTTCAGTCACCAGTCAGGGAAGTTCCCCTGCTATCCCCCGTCCCTTCAAATTCGAGGCGGCTTGGTTCTCCCACTCTAATCTGCAGAGTTTCGTTACTGAATCTTGGGATCAGAATGTGCCTCTTCATAATGCCCTCTCTTTGCTTGCAGGCAAGCTTCAGGAGTGGAACAAGAGTTTCTTTGGAAATGTTCAGCAGAATAAGCGGAGACTTCTAGCTCGCCTGCAGGGAATCGAGGATCGGCAGGCTCAGTCTTTCTCCCGGGGCCTGGCTAAACTTCACTCTCAGTTGGAGAAGGAGCTTGACAAGGTTATGGAACAAGAAGAGATCCTCTGGTTTCAAAGAGCGAGAGAGAGTTGGGTCAAGTTCGGGGAGCGCAACACTTCATACTTCCACCAGCATGTTAATATTAGGAGGAGACGCAATAAAATCGAGGCTCTGCAGGATGCGAATGGAGCTTGGGTAACCGACCCCCAGGAGCTATCTGCTTTAGTTTTCGGCTTTTTTGCTAACCTCAGTTTCCAGGATGAGACCGAGTACGAAGACCGGATGCCCAAGAACTCTTTTCCCCGTATCAGTCAGACAGAGCTAATGATGTTGCTTCGGCCCTTCAATATTCAGGACATCCATAAAGCTTTGTTTGACATGAAACCTTCCAAGCCCCGGGTCCGGACGGGTTCCAGGCAGTCTTCTATCAGCAGCTGTGGAAGATCGTGGGCAAGAGCCTCTCTGATATGGCGGTTAACATCTTTTCGACAGGAGTCCTTCCGGAAGCGGTGACGGAGTCCACTTTGGTTCTGATACCAAAAGTGGAGAGACTAGAGTTTGTGAGCCAGCTCAGACCGATCTCCCTTAACAATGTCAGCTTAAAGGTGATCACCAAGGCTCTAACCAGTAGGTTGAAACCGCTAATGAGGAAGCTCATATCCCCGCGCCAAAGCAGTTTCATCCCGGGAAGACAGACAACTGACAACATCATAGTGGTTCAAGAGGTCCTTCACTCGCTGCACAAGAAGAAAGGCAGGAAGGGAGGGATTGTACTCAAGATTGACCTTGAGAAAGCCTATGACAGACTGAGATGGGACTTCCTCAGAGACACTCATAAGGAGGTGGGACTCCCCAGCTCGTGGATAAGCGGCATCATGCATTGTGTTGAGCAGAACAGAATGCGCATTCTGTGGAACGGCCAGCTCTCTCAACCCATCGCCCCTTCAAGGGGCGTCCGCCAGGGAGATCCTCTTTCTCCTTATCTCTTTGTCCTCTGCATGGAACGATTATCTCATTGGATTGATGAAATTGTTGCTAATGGCAGATGGAAAGCTCTTAGACTTTCAAAGAATGGCCCGCCTCTCACTCGCCTATTTTTTGCAGATGATCTTCTTTTGTTTGCAGAGGCTAAGACTAGACAAATCAAGATTATCAAGGATTGCTTGGATGCGTTCTGTTTTAGCTCCGGCCAAAGAGTAAACTACCACAAGTCCATCTTGTATGTTTCCCCAAACATCAGCAGGCGGAAAGCTAACCACCTGAGCCAGCAGACTGGGATTCCTCTCAAAGCGTCCTTGGGGAAGTACCTGGGCATTCCTGTGATCCATGGAAGAGTGACTAAGGAGAGATATCAGCCTCTGTTGCTTCGCATCCAGAAGAAGTTGGCTCCATGGAAGGCGAAGCGCCTGTCTTTCGCGGCGCGCCTCACTATGGTGAAATCGGTTTCGTCCTCCATTCCTGTTTATAATATGAATACCGAGCTAATTCCGGTTGGTGTTTGCCACGGTATTGATAAATTGAACAGGGACTTTGTGTGGGCCGATGAGGAGAACAAGACGAGAATGCATCTGGTGGCATGGGAGAAAATGACGATGCCTGAGTGTCAAGGAGGAGTGGGAATCCGGCCTACACGACTCTCCAATCTCTCTATGCTGGCCAAAGGTGGGTGGCGCCTTATCAAAGAGAAAGAGACTCTCTGGGCCCAGATCATGCGTTCCAAGTACGGCCGTCAAAGAGAAAACCTGGAGATTCTTCGCCCATCTCAGGGAAGTTCCTTTACTTGGCACAGCTTTACCAAAGCTGCTCATCTGTTGCGGAAGGCAGCGCTTGGAACATTAAGAATGGGAAGGTCTGCTAATTTTGGTTGGATCCGTGGGTTTTGCAGGGAGCTCTCAAGGAGGTGGCGGTGGAACCAAATCTCGGGCACCTGGAGCAAGCCACGGTTGCGGACCTCGTGATGGAAGACGGGAGCTGGTGTACGGAGCTGTTTGAGGAGCTGTTGCCGGTTGATGTTTACCAGAAGATTCTGAGCGTTTTCGTAGATACGCTAGCTCCGGATGATGACACTCTTTTCTGGACGGCCTCTTCGGATGGGAGGTTTTCCACTAAGACTGCCTACAGTCTCCTCAACCAGCACCCTCAAGACCCGGATGAGAGGCTTTAGAAGGCGATATGGAGGCTCCCGGTCCCGGAAAGGGTGCGTAGCTTCACTTGGCTCGTTTTTCTTGGCAAAATAGCTACAAACTCCCTGCGTTGGCAAAGAAAGATTGCGGCAAACCCATTCTGTCAGAAATGTCAGGGGGTGACTGATTCGATCCTGCACATGGCCAGGGACTGCTCGGCAGCGAGCTTCTTCTGGTCCCGGCATGTTCCAGCGGCGCAGCAGCACGTTTTCTTCAGCCTCGGGCAGGACCATTGGTTCAGAAACAATATCTTGAGTTCCGTCACTATGGACTCCGGGATGCCGTGGGCGGCATTCTTCAGCACAGCGGTTTGGTTAATCTGGAAGAACCGATGTATGTTTTGCCTCAAAGGAGTTGGGGCCTCCCTTTCTCCTCCTTCCCTGGAGCATTCCATCATGGCGAAGACCCAGATGTGGCACGAGGCGTGGCTCGCTCCCACTCTCCTCCCCGCCAACAGTAATCATCCGGCTGCTAGAGTGGAGGCGGAAGTCGGGTGGAGCCCCCGCCGGAGGGTTGGACCACCCACAACACCGATGGGGCGTCTAATGGTAATCCGAGCCCGGCCAGTGCTGGTGGAGTTATCCGCGACTTGTTGGGTCACTAGGTGGCTGGCTTTTGTCGCTAACATTGGCAGCGCTACAGCGGTCCTCTCAGAGCTTTGGGCTATCATGTATGGGCTCGAT